ACACGTAACAACCTCAATCTTCCTGCGCCGACACACGCAGACCAGACACTCACTACCACAAGCCGCGGCGCGGCTCGGCGCCGCGCCGCCATAACAGCCCTCAAACGCTTGCAAAGCCCTATGACCCGGCTGGGCAGCCGCCGGCGGGCACCTCGCCGTCTTCCCGTCCAACTCAAAGATCCGACTCAAATGGCAGACGCTCACGGCGGGCACGCGCGCTGCCTCCAAGGGCCAGGGCCGGAGCAACAAATCCAATCAACAGGGCACGAGGCCCTCAACAGCCCATTGGGCGAGAGTGAAGAAGGGCGACCGCAGCCAGGCCGGGGGGGGGAGAGGAGCAGGGACGCAAGCCTGTGGCGCAGCAACTTTTCCCCGCTTCGCGCGACCGAGGATGCCGCGCGTTGCTGGGGGGTTGCGGGGTGGTGTGTACAGCTCTGCGCTTCTATTGGGTACAGAGAGCAGGACCGGCACGCGCGGCGCATCCGGGGGGGGCCCCCAGCTGCAGCCAGAGCCGGCCTCCCGACAAAGCAACAGACGAGAGGGCAGCCCCAACGCAGCCGACCCTGCGTACGCGTGCAGCGCCCGCGGCTTCAGAGCGCAGGCGCGCTCCTCACCGCCGCTGCGCGCCCGGCCCGCCGCGAGGCGCCGCGCGCCGCCTAGCCGCGGCTCACGCGCTGCAGCACCTGCTGCTCCTGCTGCTCCTGCTGCTCCTGCTGCTGCTGCTCCCGCCCCTGCTCCAGCCGCGCCCCCGCCTCGCCGCGCCGCGCCGCGCGCTCTATGTCGTCGGCGAAGCCCTCCGCCGCACCCTCCAGCACCGCGTCGCCGCGCGCGGCGCCGCCCTCCCCCTCCCCGTCAGACGCCGCCCCGTCGTCGACCGAGAACATGGACCCGGCCCCCATCCGCTGCATCGCGGTGCGCGCCTCGCCGAACACCTCGCCCGCGGCGACGCTGTTGCGCCAGCGGCGGTAGCGCACGGCGAGCTTGTCGTAGGAGACGGGGGTTGACCAGGTGTCGCCGCCGCGCTCGAGCCTGTCCTGCTGGCCCAGCACCAGCACCAGGTCCTCTCCGAGGACCTTGGGGTGGGTTGGAGGTGTTGGGAGGGGGGCAGATATGTGTGTGTGTGTGTGTGTGTGTGTGTGTGTGTGTGTGTGTGTGTTTGCGTTGTGTTTGGTGTGTCGAATATCAAGGGGTGGGCTTGGGAGTGGGGATGAGGGGTGTGCTTGTGAGTCTGCGTCCGTGCCTGTGCGTGCGTGCGTGTTTGTGTGTATGTTGCAGCGTGAGGGGAGTGTGTAAATTGCAGCGTGAGGGATGCACGGGTTGGGGATCCTCGACGGGGGCGGCGTTTTCCATGTGTCCAGGGGGGTGGGATCGGCGGGCAGGATGATGCGCCAGGACCAGCCGCGCAGCAACTGGTGCACGGCGCGGCCCCGCTGCAACAACCCAACGGCGCTCGCGCCCAGTCACGGCACATGCCGCACGCCCCCACTCGCACCCACAGCACCTCATTCGCGCCAAAGCCCCGCCCCTAGACCCGGTCCCCTGAACCCTGCAACCCCGCACCTGGCCCGCGACCGCCTTCCAGACCTGCAGTATCCCGGGCACGTACCGCACCCAGCCCATGAAGTCGAGGCTCATGCGATACAGCAGCCGCGTGTGGCCGCGCTTGGCGGGGGCGCACACATGCAGCTGGTGCAGGTGGCGCTCGCACTGGTCCGCCTTGACGCCGCGCATGATCTTGCCGGGCTGCGCCAGGCCGATGTGGCTCACGGTCTGGGGGTTGGGTTTTGTTATGCGCGCGTGAGAGGGCAGGGAGCTGGTTAAAAGAGGGTGACGGGGGATGCCGTGCGCATGCGCAACGCAAGGGGGCCGCAGTGCAGCTGAGAAAACCGAAGCTGCGGAAAGCACTCCAGCGTACTCGCGCGCCTGCATTCAGACGACCGAGCACCAGGGGACCCTCACAGACACACGCTGCATGCAGAAAAGGAATACCCTCCCGTGCAGCCCCGCGCGGCCCGCCCACCATGCATGGCGGCTGGAAGGCCATGTCTATGGGGTAGGGGTCCCACGCCCCCGACAGCATCTGGCTAGCGTGGAACTTGACGGCGTCCGGCACCGGCCAGCCGCGCGCAAAGGTGGAGGTGTGTGTGAAGGGCGCGTGGGCCAGGTCCAGCAGGTTCTCAATCAGCAGGCCTGGGGGGGGTGTAGCAGGGTTGGGT